CGTGGCATCGCAGGTCTGCACAGGTTTGGATCTCTGTAAAGTTAGAGGAGCACCATCATTGTCCTGTAGTGCTTTGTGATTTAACGAGTCAACAAAGATGCTCACAAAGTCATAGATTTCTACATCAGTATTTCTTTGTGTTTATCCACTACATTGAAGGAGATTTAATTGCAGGAAGAAGAATCCAGTAATAAAGTCAGTCTAAAACATTTTACTGGTTAAATATTTACATTTTCTCATCCAGATTTCATTTCAGTATTTTTCTACACTTACTATTTTAGCAAAACATTGTAATTGCTAACATTTCAAGTAGTTAAATTAAACTGAACTGTTTCCTTTAAAAAAGTAATTAAAAATGTCTGGTGTGACAGGTGACAGAAAATTTCTAATTTCAAATGTTCACACCTGAATCAACTGATACGAGCAGTCTGTGACAAAGACAGTGTCTTCATTTACAGTATGTAAGTTTACAGTTTTTAAATTACAATATTGCAGTCATACCTTCAACTCCTGTTACAGTGGTGTGATATTTTCTGTGATACACACAAACACAAGAATTTGTTTTTTGTAAAGCAAAATAAGAATCTATCACATGTTACACATTATCAGAGAGCAGAGATATTTTTTTAATGGTTTTCACATTTACACTCATCATACATTTGACTATTTCTGAAATAAAGTGAATTTTTAAGAAAAAAAAAACATGCATTTCACTGATGTTTTTATAAAAGTTTGTCAAATTTAAAGAAACTAGCATTTAAAGGACAAACAAATCTTACATGCGTTGGAGCTGAATCTCAGTCTACCAGAAATTAAACTATGTGTGAGATAGCTCCTCGTTTAATGAAGCAATAGAAGATATTTAGGTCTCACTCAGTGTATTTATTGATCAGACAGTTGAATAAGCACACAGAGCTCTGGATCAAACTGCTCACCCTATCACCAACAAAGTTAATGTCAGGGCACCAAGTCTGACCGACTGCCTCGACCTGATCCAGTGTACTTATACTATTACATGAGGATGAGCACAGAATGTGTTGCAGCGAGCTGATTGGTTCCTCCGTGTCCTGGAGCCTTCTTCCACCATCTTGTGGATGTAGAGACTTACCACTCTGCACCCTCAGTTCCGCCCTCCTGCAGATACCTGCTTCTGACAGAGAAATACACACAAACCACCAGATCCTGTTTCTACCAACATCTTCTCATGCTGCAGTTGTTTATCAATTGTGGTGATTATGCCTTAAGATAATAACAAGAGATTTAGATAATAATAAGAGATTATCAAAACATGAATATAAATATATGATCCTAGTGCATGCTGGTCTCATTATGTGCTTTCTATGAAAACTGTCATTCAAGATTCAGGATTTAAGGATTCAAGGATTCAAGGCCTTTATTGGTCACTAACACAGTTATACATGGTATAGCGCGCAGTGAAATGCTTTGTGCACCTGTTCCACACCGAAATAATATTAAAAAGATGAATACGAATAAA